AAATGGCAGATGAACTTCAATGTTGATGTGTGCAAGGTAATGCACCTGGGGCAAAATAACTTCATCTAGGGGCTAGGGGCAGACATTACACATAAACCAGTATAAGCGATCAAAAACTGTTTAAACCTGTAACAGAACAGATGTTCAGTGCACATAAACCAGTTTGAAAATGGCTGAAACTGGCTTGTGATAAACCTGGTTGAATGTAGTCTCAGACTTAGCTGATTTGGCTCAAACCGGTTTATGCAATGTCTGTTCTGGACCCCTTCCTGGTTTAAGTTAAACCAGAGTCCCCCAGCATCCCAGATGCTTTGCAGTCCTGGGCGGGGCTCTCTGCTCCAGAAAGCAGGGCTGGCCCCGCCCCCTTGCTACCTCACTGGTGCTCTGACAGGGACTGCAGGCATAGCAGTGTCTGCCTGGCTTCCCTGTGCCCCTGCTCCCCGCTCCCTGCTCCAGCAGGGATTTCCCACTCCCCTCTCCCATAGCACGGACTGTAGCCAGCATGTGGTATGCTAGCTAATGCTGAGAGGTGTCTGTGTTAGAAAGACAGGACAAAGGCAAGCAGGACTGTGTCCCCTTAGGGCTTTTTGGAGCTAATCAACAGGTAGCTGGTAACATCCCTCCATTCCTTGCTTGGAAAAAGTTGTCTAATGAGAGCTTGAACTAAAGAGGGGCTTTTGTTTTCTTGATGGGATGCTAAGTGCTATCAACTCCCTGTGTAACTCCCTGCTGTGTGACTAAATGCGGTGCAACTCCCCGCTGGCACCCTCACTTGTCAGGAGCAGCTGGAGGAGGGAGGGAACCCCTCCCTGTGGTGAGGGAGCCCCTCCCTCATTGGAGCGTTCAGACACTCCTGACCACACCCCACTCAGTTCAGCACTCTGGAAGGGAAGGGAGGGCTGCTCTAGTGCCCCCCAGCTTCTAGCCTGAGCCACTGTAGGCATATGCCTGCCTTTCTTCAGTCTAGAGGGGGTGTCTATACGGTTACAAACCAGTTTGGCATAGCCAGAATAAATTAACCTGAGAAGATTGAATCAATTCAAGCTCAGGCTTTTTGAATGTCTGTCCATAGCCTATGTGCACAAAGCTGGATTCTGAACTAGCTCATGACTCAGGAGAGAGACCTTGGAAAGAGACTAGCTTATGACGACTCAGGAAAGACACCTCAGTGTGATTGTATATAGTTCAGCTTGCAATGATGACCAAAAAAGCCAATAAAATGTTGAGCATCATTAAGAAGGAAATTGAAAATGAAACAGAGAACATCATCGTGCCATTATGCAAAGCCATACTGTGCCCACATTTTAAATACTGTGTGCAGCTCCCATCCCTGTCAGTGGCATTTTTTGAATGGTTCTATTATTTTGTGTGTCTGCCCTCTCAGTTATTTAATATCCTCATGCAAACAGCCTGGAAAACAAAAAGAAGGAAACCAAAGTATTAGTAGAGGATATAAAACTGGACACACAGGGAATATGGAAACAATATGCGATAGCAGTCCTGACTGTAAAACTGGGCTTGAAGGACGTACCGTGTTCAGGAAAGATAGAAGCAGGAAGGTAAAGACAGTGTGACAGCATTGTATATTAAAGATAGCACAGCTTGTCAATAAATAAGTGAGTGTCTACATTTCATAAGGGAAAATATAAATAGATTAAGGGGAACAAGTCAATAGAGACACGAGGACTGTGTACCTCAGAGAGTTGAGTGTGAAAGGGGCTAGAATTTCCTTAAATTAAAGGTGCAAAAGCTGCTCCAATCTTGGGTGAACAATCATCTCAAGAAGGGTACTGAATGTAAGCAGAGCCTCAAAGGAATGGAGAAAAAGGAATCAAAAAGGAAGCTATGTCTTCAAGTGAGGCTGTATAGACCAAATGAAAACTTCCAAAAGTCAAGCTGAGTTAGACCTCATGGGGGTAATGAAGCTAAAGAACGAAAGGTCCTCTAGTCATGTAAACACAAGAGAGAAAGGAAAGAAGTACTGTGGCTACTGGGGGGCGCTGAGGATAGAGCCAAGAGTAAAGATCTCTGGGGCTGACCCAAAAGCTAAATGAATACTTTGCTTCAGTCATCAAGATATGGCAATTAGCACTAAAGAGACTGAGGTTGCGGATGTGGGAATCGGTGCAGCCAGGATGGGAACGAAGAGAGCAGTCTCTTTTGGGGGAAACCACATAACTCCCATCCCACAGTTTTCAAAGAACTGGAGTGTGGCATCACAGGTCTGGAAATAAGATTATTCACAGACCTAGTCCGGAGCAGCCCAAGATGACTGGAGAACAGCACGTGTTCCCCTTGTATTTAATATCGGGGAAACATTCTCGGAGCAACAACAGGTGTGTTCGCATCAGTTTAACAGTCTGACTACAGAACAAATTTTGAAAGCAAGAAATAATTCAAAGCATGGTGATAAATGAAAACTGGGACAAAGATTTCGCTCACTTGTAGACAAAGGAAATGAAGCGGGTCTCTCTCATCGATCTGGACTTCAGTAAAAACAAACTTGAGTTCTTTCTTTGACAAAGTACTGTGCTTACTCAAATCCAAGATCAGGTCTTTTTTACCTCATTTAACACGGGGGAAAGCCCCTCATCTTGGAGTCGAGTACAAGCTGGGGGTGGGGGGCAGAGTCGGAGCCACAGCAGCCCCCTCCCTGCTCCTTGCAGCCGCTGCACCCCCACCTGCCACCACTCCACTTTGCAGCTCCAGGTCTGGTCTGGCCCCGGGGGAAGGAGCACGGTGGCACTTCAGCCCCAGCCCAGCCACCCAGCAGTGGTAGCTCTGGCTCTGGCCCTGGCTCTGGCCCTGGCCCTGACCCCAGAGCTGCCGCTGAGGAGCTGGGCTGAAGTGATGATGTGCCCTGAAGCTGGAGCCTCAGGCGCTGGGGGGAGGGATTAAAGACGATGTGGGGGGCATGCGGGGAGCAGGCATGCGGGGAGCAAGTGCTAAAGAATACGGGCACTGAAGGGGGCAGGGGCAGGGTATGCAGGCATGGGTGGCGGGTGGGGGCAAGTTGGGGGGAACAAGTAGCAGGGGGCAAGGGTCAAGCCACTTGACTCTCCTGCTGCCTGCCCCACTCCCCCCGCATGCCTGACTTTTCTCACATCAACAATGGGGAGCGGGGGAAGAAATTTAAGATAAAGCTCCAATAGTCAGGTGCCATACATGGAAAATTATAACCAATTTATAAATGTCCCATGTCTAGAATCGAACTGGGGGCTTGCCTTCAATTCAAATGTGTCTTGGATTCAGGTAAATATGGTAACTACTTGGGTGGATGAAGGGGATGTAGTGGATAGTGTGAATCTGGACTTCAGCAAGGCTTTTGACCAAGTCCCACGTGACCTTCTCACAAACACACCGGAGAACCGCAGGCTGGACAGGACTGCGAGACAACCGGCTCAACAGCCACAACCAATGGGCAATCATCAACAGATCCATGTCAGAGGGGCAGACGGTTTTGAGTGAAGTCCCACTGGTGTCTGTGCTGGCTCTGGTGCTGTCCAATGTGTTCAGTGATCATGTGAATACTTTCATAGACAGCATCTTGAGCAAACCTGCAGACAACACAACACCGGGAAGGACTATGAAGTATTGGAGGAGGGGAGCCCGATTCAGGAGGATCTCACCAGATTGGAAAGCGGAGCTGGAACAGGCAGGATGAAGTGCAGTGCAGACAAATGCAAGGTGCTGCACCTCGGGGAGAAGAATCCAAAATACCAATTCAGAAGTTGACACCTAGCTGGATGGCAGCACTCAGGAGAAGGACTGGGGAGTCCTGGTCTATCAGAGACTCAATACGAGTCTGTGGTGGGATGCAGCTGCACAACAGACCAATGTGTTTTTTGGACACATCAACGGAAGCAGTAGGTGCAAGACATGGGGACTGATAGCGATAGTAGGCTTCTCTACTCGGCACTGGTTAGGCCTTACTTGGAATAGCACGTGCTGTTCTGGGCTCCGCAGTTTTAAAAGGAGGTGGAGAAGTTAGAGAGGGCCCAGAGGCGGGCGACAAAGAAGATCAAAGGGCTTGGAAAGCAAATCATACGAGAAGAGGATTAAGGAGCTAAGCATATTCATCTTGCAGAAAAGGTACTTAAAGAGGGGGCATGATGGGACGTGGACCAGTGGCTTGAATTGGTGCAAAGGTTTAGACTGGATCTCAGGAAAAGCTTCTTTCCAATGAGGCAGTGGACCAGACCCCGAGACAAGTTCGGGACTCTCCATCCCTGGAGGTGCTCGAGAGGAGGCCAGGTAAGTATTGGTCAGGGAGAATCTAAGCATAGCTATTCCCATGGTCTGCTATGGGTATTTCCCAAGCTGCTGGGCTTTCCTGGCTGCCACATAGGGCCAGGAAGGAAGTTTTCCCCCCTCCTGCTGCTACATGTGTCAGGAGGATTTTTTTCAGCTTCCTCCGAAGCACTGGCTGTCGGCTGCAGCCCAAGCTGGGGATTTTGACTGGGTCTTAAACCTGGAGGTTTCTGACTAGAGGCTCTTGCCCGTCCTTTCAGGATCAAACCCATTGCCACATTTGGGGTCAGGAATTTCCTTGTCAGGCTGGTATGGACTGCATGGGTTTGCCTCCCTTTGTAGCAGGGACTGTGGCCCGCTGCCTGGGATCTCTGTAGCATATCTGAACAACCTTGGCAGGAGCAGGGCACAGAAAAAGAGGCAATGTTAAGGTGCAGCATTGAAAGAAGAAATGTCAGGCTGGAAGCAGATTACTGCTAGAGTTCCCCAAACATCAGTTGAGGAACTGGTTTTGATTAATATTTGTATTAATGCCAACTCCGCTGTCCTTTCACCAACTGTACAGGTATTGGTGATCACTGCTACTGACAAAAGAGGAGAGGCAGTGTGCAAGGGGGGTGAGTGGCTGAGTGCTGCAAGGAATACAGCCTGCCAAATGATTAGGGCAGCGATTCTCAACCAGGATTCTCCAGCATTATTGTATCAAAAGATAATGAAAAAAAAAGGGTTACATTCAAACTTAGCTTTACTCACGAGAGTTTTGATCTCATAATGCATCTTTCTTTGCAGCCAGGGCATCGGCAGAATCTGGCTACGTTGCCAGCTTCATCATCATGTCCAAAAATGAGAGCGTGGCCAAGCTCATGAGCAGAACCAGCTGCATTATATACGTTCTCGTTATTGCTGAACTGTACACAGGGAGACAAAACACAAAGATGAAAAGCACTTGGAAAGAATTGCACATTGACTCAGAAAGTCTCGGGGAGAGCTTAGCTCTAAAAATATGTAAGTATGATTTCCACAGCAAACATGAGGGCTGCATGCGCAAGTGGCCAGTTTGAGTAATGACAGAATCCCATGGGAAAACTCGCACAGAGAAAGATTAATTCTTTAGTGGTGTCCTAGGACGTCTCTTGGCACAGGAAGCCTCCTGAGCAAGTTTGCAGACTACACCAAACCTCTTTCCACAGTCCCATATTGTATCTGTCGCTGGTGAAAAGTAAGGGCCTTTTTCTGGTGATATCTTTTATTGGACCAACTGTACAGTCAGGAGAGACATTAGACCAGGGGTGGGTGAAATACGGCCTGCTGGGGCCCACAGCAGGTCTTTGTCTGGCCTGTGGCAGGTCCCTCCGTCCTGCCCGGCTCAGGCACAGTCCAGCTATGGCGCATCCTGCCACCCCTGGGCATGCAGCGCGGCTGGGGCAGCTCCGCAGCTGCACTGTCTTTCTAGGCTGCCCAGCTTGTGGTGGCAGCTCCTTCCGGCTGTCGCTGCCACTGGCCCCGGCCCCGTGGTGGCAGCAGGGACCTGCACTGCACAGTCCTGGCACATCGTGCCCAGACTCAGCAGCAACACACCCTCCCCCACACACAACCCCCACAAACCCCAGCCCCCATGCCCCTCTACCCACAATATACAACAGTAAGACTTCATTTGAGCTGTTATGCCATCACCTCCATATACACCACACACACTCCCTGCATGCAGCAGACACTCAGTAATAGTGAGCACTCTGTGAGCTTCACTACTATGGGCAGCCCCTGCACGGAGGGGTCAGAGCGCTTGGTTTTCAGGAACACCCAACAAATGCATCTGCTTCTCGACCTGGGACCAGGCAGTGTCCAGGGCTTGCATTTCCAGGCAAAAGCCATCAAGTGCATCTTTCCAGAGTTGGGAACTTCACACCTGCTCAGGGACCTAATGTCAAGGCAAACAAACTTGAACTCCTCTGACAAAGTACCAACTTGGGCAGATGAAGAAAATGCTGTGGATACAGTGCACCTGGACTTCAGCAAGGTTTTCGACAAGGTCCTGCAGGACCATAAATAAACTGGAGAAACGTGGGCTGGACAGAGCTACTAGTACGTGAATAGACAGCTAGCTCAGCAGCCAAAAGCAAAGGGAAATTATCAACAGATCTCTGTCAGAATGGCAGGAGGTTTCACGGGGAGTCCAACGGGGTCTGTCCTGGGCCCGGTGCTGTTCAACACATTTGCTAATGGTTGGGACGCTAGCAGAGGAAGCTTCCTGATCAAGTTTGCAGACGACACTACACTGGGAAGGACTGTGGACACATTGGAGGATGTGAGGGAATGCAATTCAGAAGGCTCTTGAAAGATTGGAAATCTGTGCTGGAGCTAACCGAATGAAGTTCAGGGCAGACAAGTGCAAGATCCTGCAACTTGGGAACAAGAATCAAAAGCACAAATGCAAAATGGGTGACACCTGGCTGGATGGCAGCACTACAGAGAAGGATCTGGGAGTCTTGGTAGATCCCAGACTCAAATGAGTCTGCAGTGTGATGTAGCTGCACAAAAAGCACAAGCATTTTAGGGCACCTGCATTTTAGGGATGCATCAGTAGAAGAATTAGGGACAAGACCCTGGAGGTACTAGTGCCTCTCTCCTCAGAGCTGGTCAAGCCTCATCTGTGAAATCCAGACAGGGTTGTTATGCATTCAGCCAGACTGTGCCAAACTGGATAGGTTTAAAATGCGACCTGAGGACGGGCACTTGGGCTAAGAGAAGACTGTCCAAAACCCCAAGACAGAATCAATTCAACCTTCGCAGACTAGACTGAACCAATAAGCAAGTGAACAGATGTTTACTTTTGATTCTGGAAATGCAGCCATATGTCTGCAGTGGCTCAGGCCAGAAACTGGGGGAAGCTAGAGCATGTTTCCCTGCCTGGCTGGAGCAGACAGCCTGCACAAGGCTAGCCCCCTCACCCTGGGGGGTATGGGGGTGCAGGGGTGGGGCGGATGTAAGTTAACTTGAATTTGGGGGGGAACTGGGAGAGAAATTCAATAAACCAATTTAATGTAAATAAATTAAGTCTGATATTACATCCATCCAGGTTGATCTTAAACTGGTTTTGGCCATTTTGAAACCAGTTTATGTGCACTGAACTTCTGTTATGTTAAAGATTTGAACTGGTTTCCAATCACTTATACTGGTTTATGTGTAACTTCTGTCCCTAGCCTCGATGACCAAAGGCTTGTCCAACAGGTCTGTCATCTATGCACTGGTCCAACAAAAGATATCACAGAAATCCTTGACGTTTTAAAATGAAACTTTGGGTTTAATGAACAACCATTTTTGAGAACACTCTTGGCTCAGAAAATTTCCATTCGTCTGTACTGAAAAACATCAGAACTTGGTATACAACCTATTTTGTCTTCATGATGTTACTGCCAGACATCTGCAATGGAGAACGCTAGTATACTGTAGGAAAATTCGGGAGGAGGTGTACGTGTCAGGTAGACTCACTAGCATGAGAGCTGCATGGTGTGGACTCGAAACAATAGCCTTACAAGTGCCAGCTGTGGACACACGAAGCATACAATCTGGGATAGGTTCTTACCCCTATAACAGAACGGGCCTTCAAATCTAGGCAGACAAGTTTCTCTGGGCGGATGTGATCTCTTAAGCTATCAATTTAGTTGGTCTAATAAAAGATATGACATCCACCCAAACAACCTATTCTGCCTGTGGCCTTAGATCAGCATGGTTACAGTCAACAACCCTTCAAATTTAGTCTCCCAACTTGGGCCAACTTATAATAAGTTTGACTACTTTATTTAACCCAGTTAACAAGGCCAAAACTGAACTTCTTTTTTTTCCCCAGTCTCTCCTCAACAACACCATCATCTTCCTCACAGCCAGGCCAGGAATCGGAGGCATCATCCACCGTTCATTTCCTTGTCCCACACGGCCGAGACGTACTCACATGTTACTACTTCGTCTACAATACCTCCAAAACTGGAACCAGGTTTTTCCCTGCACAGCTGAGTCTGTTATGAAGACACTCAACGCTGGGAGCTATAGTGCTTTCTACCAGCTCATCTCACTTGAGCAGCCACACTTCTTTTTAACTTGCAAGCCAGGTCCTTTATTTGAAGCCTTCTCAGCAAAGGAAGTCAAACAGAAAAACGTCCCTCTTCCCTCTCCAGGCTAATAAACAGTACTTGCCTTTCTCCCTCCAGGCTGTAACACAGATGGTGCCTTCCTCCAGGCTACCAAGGCTCTCCAGCCTCATCAAGTTCTCTCTGCCTCCCTGACCTCATTCAGCTAGCCCTTTTCAGTGTTTCCAGCTGGGCATCTGACCCATGGCCTGATCCCCTCCGGCGCCACGTCATCAGCAAGCAGGGTTTCATTGCCATTTTCCTTCCTTTCCTCCTACGGCTTTACACAGTGGATTAAATAAAAAGTTGAGGAACCAAAACTGTTAAGTTCCCAAGATCAGGAATAAGGTTAAAGCATCTCAACTGGCCATGCATTTGATACAACTCAAAAATTAGGCAAACCCAAGTGCCACATCACACTGAAACACCGGTGCAGCCTTACTGCAGAAACGATTTGAAACTATCTGGTATTACACGATGTATTGCAAGATACTCTTTACTTACCCTAATAATAGATGTTGAGGCGTCTGTGTTGCATACGGTTCCCTGTGTCGCCAGTCCTAGCGTGCCTCGATAGTGTCTGCCTCTGTCGAGAAAACGCATTACAAAATATTGAATGCTACTACAATCTGCAGTGGGCATGGATTTCACAGCATAAATCAGAAAAGAAAAATACTTGTTTTACCTACAAAAAGAACTTTTTCTTGTTCTTCTTCCCTGAAAATTTGTCCTCTTATACCCAAGGTCTTCAAATCTAGAGTCCCTATTGGTTAAAGATCCCCCCGTCAGGAGCAATTATACTTTTTCAGGGGTGCAGTAACACTATTGAAAGCTGGAAGGCTGCAGGAGTCAACAAAGGATGTTTTAAATGGTAAAAATGAGGTTCAGTCAGAAAGTATAGCTTCCTAATTTTCCCCTTCAAAGCAAACCAGTAGCAGCCAGCAAGAAAAAACTCTGTCCAAGAACAGGAGCCTCCACTTGAAGCTGAAAACTGCACGTGAGCCCGTTTTAATGTGTCCCAAGGGAGACATGCCCGAGACGCTGCTTCTGCGTAGCAGTGCTGACCCACTCTGCAGTTTGCACACCGCAGAGACAACGGCATCATTTGAATGGACTGCGCTGCCCCATCCTCAGTCCATAACTGCATGTTTAGCACTAACAGGCAAGGTTTTTTTTTCCAATAATATTTGCTGAGAAAGAAAAATAGGAGACATCACTTTCTGACTGGCCCTCATATTTTAAAATGACTTTGAAACCATTTTAAAAGTGAGAAGTTCTTCAAATTAGGCATTTACATTATGTAAAGATAAGCTATACAGGTCAGAATGAAATTGTTCCATTTTCTCATGCAAGCTGCCCACCGTTGAGGAGAACTGGCCTGTAGCTGTACAAATAATGGAGGAAGCCATGTTAATTAAATATGACAGCGTAGAGAAATTCATGAGTCTATGTATCAGGATGCAACATTGACATTCACCGGGATGAAATTCAGCAACACTTCAACATCACCCAGGACATCTTTAAGTCCTCAATGTGGAATCACATTGAAATCTAAAAGAATTTTACTAAAAAAGCAAGAAAACTTTCATTTTATTTGCTAGTTTATTTATTCAAGCTCTAGCTTCAACCTTCTAGTTCTTGCTGAACATTTCCCATCATCTGAAAGCCATTTAATGCAAGGTGGAAGGGTAAAGACTTCCAGTAACCCTTCTGCGTGCACGGCTGATTTGTTTTTAATTTAAATGGTTATAGACAAGGAATAAAATGAAGAATAAATAGAAATATAAGATGTCATACCATATGAGACGAGGCAGAGAACATGATTATAATGACTGATGAGCACAGGCAAGAGGAGTCTATGCACAAGCAAGGCTATGCCTTTTAATGCTTGCTACACATGAGTGGCTCAAGTCACAAAATACAGATTCATGGGTGTAAAAAAAATGTGTCAGTGTTCAAGAAATGTCCTCAAATCTCTGGATTTTATCTAGTAATAATTTATAACTCAAAGGGAAGACCTGAGAAAATCTGAAATGTTTAGTGAAATATCTGAAAGGTTTCACCTCCCAGAGCTTGCCCAGAGTTGAGGAAGCAAACCTTCCCCAGGCTCTGAGCACTGGGCGTATGGCTTGCTCATGAAACACGTGCAGAGTCCTTGGTATGGGAGACTGCAGTTGATTTTAGGGAACTGAGAGGAGGTCTCAGTGGACATCGTGACTGCTGGCACGGAAGAAGTCATAAAGGGCAAACAGAAGGGCAGAGAGTTTGAGGTAGCCTGTGGCATACTTAGAAGGGCTGAAACTTTAAGGTATGATAATTGCACACTGGAGAGGCTCAGACCGAGAGCCCCAAGTGTTAACCTGCAAAGCTTTATGTGGCTGTAAGGATCGCCAGGAAGCCTCTTCTCACAATCTGGGATAAGCAGTATCTATATAATTTAGTGCCCTCCATCTGCACTCCCAGAGGAAGCAGAACGTGCGCAGTCAGGCGCAGAGCTGGGGGAGTCACTGGGTCTTGCAGCCAACTTCTACAACACTTGCCTTCCTCCCTGCCTACACTGGAAGTGCGGGGGAAAGAAGGGAAAAACCGTATGCAGACTGGACGTGATGGGGGAACTGCATGCTGCCTGAAGAGAGGCTCTATATTCCAGAGACCATGCAACAAGGATGTTAAGCAGGAGACATCCTGCCTCAGGATTTTCTTGGCCTGGCACTAGCCCTGAGCCTGCATAGGATGCAAAGCCAAAGGGCAGTCTCATCAAAAAGCTCAATGCAGCCCTAGGATATGGTGGGGACTCCGACTTTCAAAATGTTATTCTAAATTTCTTATTTGAAAAAAGGGGCTTGGCAATTTCCTCAAGCAAAGCTCTTCAGCAGAGAAGGCGAAGCAGCCTGCCTTTCATTTTAATAAGCCATATCCCTTCTGCCATTTAACTGGCAGGTCTAGTTCAGGCTCCAGCTGCAAGCAGGGTCAAGTAGCCATTGAAATGAATCTGTAAATACAGCGCACAAGGCTACCAAATCACGTTTGCAGCTGCATTGGTAATTCTTCCATTTCTGAATTGTTTTAGCATTTATCTTCTGAACATGAATGTGCTTTTAACAGTGTGTGGATGGGAAGAATAAGAGGATACTCAATATGGAAAGACATTATATGTTCTGGTATCAATTGTAAGTACTACTTTAGCACAATGCGGGCACATCTACATAAGATGCTTACTGCGCATTAGCCTAAAACACTGTGCAGTAGCGTGGCCGTTAAAAACCATGCTAACAGCCTGCTGTGCAGTGTTATTAGGCTAATGCGCAGAAAGCATTGCAAAATAACCGTGTGCCAGCACTACTGCACAGGAACTGTAGTTACTGCGCAGTTAGTTAGTACTTCATTGAACACATACTAAACTAAATGCACAGTAATTCGGGCACATTAATGAACATGTAGACACACCCTGCATCATTAAACTATGGAAAGTGTGTACAAGATACAGCTATTCAGAATAGCCCAAGTGCCAATATAAATGTTTAAAAAACACCTGGAAAGGCTCTTAAAACCATCAAACTTTAGGGTATAACCCAAGCTCATCTAAGTGGGGATTAAAAAATAACCATTTCCTTAGGAAGAAGCCACTCATACCTGCACAGGTCCTGCCCTTTCCTCTGAAATGTCTAGTGATCGTCACTCCTGGATTAGAGCAGGGGTATCGCATTCACCTTGCCCCAGGGGTGCCAGAGTAGGTTGGATCCAGTGTGGAGACACGTCATCTGCCCTGTGGGGCTGCTCGCAGGGCCAGAAGGGTGGTGGTGGGTCAAGCAGCACTAATTGCTGTGGTTCCTAGAGCCACGTTGGCCGCTGCTTGTCCTGAAGTCACACTCTTGGGCCATGAGCAGCCCTGCAGGCAGACGACACAGCGCTGCGCTCTGGATCCAGCCCACGAGGCTGGAAATCTGGCAGCGGGATGAGCGGCAGAAGTGTGAATTGCCACAACTCCCAAAGCTGTGGATATTAATCCTGCCACTGCTCACCCCACCACCCAGGACCCAGACCCACAGGCCAGATGACCCGGCTCCGCAGGCTGGACCCATGCTGCTGTGTTTTTGACACCCCGGGATTAGAGAGACGACTTGTACAGTGTGGTGGACAGTTCTTATATTCTTTCCTAGAAACAAAGCCAGCTCGGTAGGCACAGAAGGTCTGAACTCTCCTCTTGTTTCAGATGCAAAAACCCCACAACATCCCAATACTGGAAATAGCAAATTTGGTTACATAAATGAAAATGCATGTTAAATCTTTCATAAAAGCTGAGGAACGTGCATTTAATACTGACACATCAGAAACAGTATCTACATAGTCATACGAAAATGAAAGAGTATCTTACAGGAGTAATTGTGCATGGTCAAAGTATATGCGGGGTTTAAGGAACCGTCTAGCCCATGGAGCGAAAAAGTGAAAAGCGTGGTCCAGTAAATGAGTGACTGTTATTTGGTCCACTTCTGTCCATATCTCAGTTCCAACCAGAACAATGCGCAGATTAAGTGACGTGTACATCTGCAAAGAGACCAAGTGTTGAAAACAAGGTGTCATCTACTTGCCGGGTTTTACAGTAAATGATTTCCATGTGCTCACGTGGATGTTTCAGAGACCTTCTGCTTGACCCAATATTTTTCTGCAGTTCGTTCATTTATATTGTAAATTATAAGAACAATATTGACTGCAGAATATGTATTTTCATTTGTTCACTTTTTTTTTTAATACAATTTCTGCGCACCTAAGATCTTCCTCTGCCCTGGTAGTTCATGATTACATTCCCTCATGCATTAACACATTGGCATCACACGCATGCAGTACTTAAGAGGGGAGGAAGTTTGGGGGGCAAGAGTAGGGAGCTGAGGTGTGCATATAAAATGGGGAAGGGGCTTGCCATCAGCAACCAAGAAATAATCATGCTGGAAGCAATTAAGTAGCTCCCAAATCAGGCACTTGAAAGGGGCGTAAGAACAAAAGATGTGCCATACTGGGTCAGACCTATGGTCCACCTAGCCCAGACCCTGCTCCAGCACTGGCAGAAATGGTCGCTATAGAGGTGACAAATTAAACCGGATATATCTAGTGCAGTGGTTCTCAACCTGGATCGATTGGGGGAACTCCTCAGAAAACATCAGCTCTTCATTTTCACTCTTTTTTAACTACTGAAAAACAACACGACAGTTTTCTGTTGCGAAGGACTCAAAAAGACCACAACTCTGGATTTCTGTTGGAAATCTCTGGGTGCATCTTGTGAATCATATTTGCCCACCTAACAGTGCTGATAGGTGAGGTACCCCCGGGCTCCCTCGAAGGGATCTAGCGTCCTGGGGGGGAGATTTTGAGGGGCTCAGTGTGAGCACCCTTTGCTATAGATAGGTTCATAAGTGGGATACCTAGGAGAGCAGGGGGAGTCCCCAGGGTTGATACGACAGTCTTGTAATAGTTTTGTTGCCAATGTGGCACACTGCACCTGAAGGTCACTGAAGAGGCATGGAGGGAGCTGGAGGAGGAAAGCAGGAGTCCCAGGGAGGACAAGGGAATGGCAATGGCACAAGAAAAACTGAAGTGAAGCAGTCTGCTGTGCTGGCTGGGACATGGCACTCCTACCTCTCCCCTGTTGGCTTAGAGAATGGCATTTAAAGGTTTGCTTTTTGGGAATTGGCTTACAGGTATCTGTGTATGCATGAGAATGGTTCAGAAAGGGCAGCAGGGGTTACCTGGTCTCTAGGAGTCTGGGTCACAGTCACAGCCGTGGGAGCAGACAGGCCATCTAACACAACAAGGCCAACAGGGAGGCAGGGTCCCAACGCCCCTTAGAACCCATACCAGGGTTGGCTGTAGGGGTCCTTCAGGACAGAGAAAAACTTTCTCTTTCCGGCCAAGGAAGAGCTTCCCCTGGAAGAGGCTGATTCCTCACATACGCTCATCAGTAGTAACTTCCAGATGGGATGGGATCCTGAAGTTTACTTGCAGGTCTCAAGCAATGAGACACAATGGAGCCAGACAACCATCTGCCCCAACCTACTCTAACAGTTGAAATGCAAGCCACTGGGAAAAGGTTAAAAAACTGTGTGTGGTTAGGCTGTAGAAAAGGAGATGCCGGGGAGGTATTATTGAAATTTTTGGGATGTGTCATTGGACCAAACTTTTAAAATGACCAGTTGGTTGAAGGACAAAGTGGGTACCAGAGCGGAAGGGAGGCACTGAGCACAGTGCCTCGGTTTACAAGAAGTGATGGCTCCCAACAGCAGGACCTTGAATGTGTGTCACACAGGACGGGACACTGGCAGGAACCTGTTACAATCCCCCAAATCAAAGGAGGGAACCGAAGGAGTGGTTCCTGAAGTGCCTATCTGCAAAGTGAAGAAAAGGAATAAGTATGCATTACCCTCGGGCTATACAGAGACAAGTAAGAAAACTAGTTCTGAGAATTGGAGATAACTTTCTAAAACAAAAGATATCTCATCCATTACAAGGTAACATGGTTTTAGACCGCATTGTGATGATGGCTGGAAAGAGGTTGTTGGAAACATGCTGGCTACACACCATGACCTGAACACCATCATTTTGGAGAAATGGAAAATGTGTCCAAACAATTCCCAGTGCTGAAAGAAGTAAAATTGTTAGGAAAATGTGGGAAAATGTTGGGAGTTTTTCAAAAAGGGTTACTATAAAGTCCTGAAATCTCATTTCCCCATTACTTTCCTTAAAAGTCCAGCTTGGTTAAGAGGAGAAACGGATAATACAGGTGGCAGGGCAAAGGAACAAAAACAAGGAGATTTTAATGCGGAAAGGAAAAGGAAAGAGAGGAATGATGGTGTCCCGTTATATGACTGTTAACAATTTTACACAAACTGTAACCATGAATATTTCTGTTTTGTATATGGACCAAAGCAACTGGATGTGTTCACACCACACAAGTATTCTAGTATAATAAAAGGCTTAGTACTTCCGCCTGTCCATTCCTAACGCTGGGGGCCAGCTACTCATGCACCCCGGAGAGGGCGGGCGGCAATTGGCTGCACAGGCCCTGCCCCCTCAGGCAGGGAGCTGGAAGTGGAGGGAGGGCTTGGGCTTTAAAACTGTATTGACTTGCCCCGTCTCCTGCCAAAGCTGATAGAAGTCACAGGCAGTAGGGCCCAGGAGGAGCCTCAGCAGGACTGAGTAGCCCATCCCGCCCCACCCTCAGCAATTGTGCTATCTGCCTGCAGCACCCGCCTGGTAGGGCATGTGCGGGGGGCGGGGGTAGGGCGTGTGTGTGTGTGTGTGTTATGTGTGCAGTCGTGGGTGGGTGGATGTGCAGCCGAGGGTGGATGTGCAGTCGAGGGTGGGTGGATGTGCAGCCAGGGACAGCAGGGGTGGGTGGGTGCAGTTGTGGAGCCAGAAGCACAGTGTGTGGATAGGTGGGCAGCCCAGGGCACAGTGGGCGGGTGGGGGTGTGTGTGGGTGCAGCCAGGGGCAGAGTGTGAGGGTGGGTGTGAAGCTGGGGGCATAGTGGGAAAGTGGCTGTACAGCCAAGGGAAGGGTGGGTGTGGTTGTGAAGCCATGGGCAGAATGGGTGGGTGGGTGTGCAACCAGGGACAGAGTGGGTGGGTATGTATGGGTGTGCAGCTAGGGGCAGCATGGGTGGGTGTAGGTGTGCAGGCAGGGGCAGAGTTGGTGAGTGGGTTTGGTTGTGGACCCAAGGACAGAGTGTATGGGTTGGTGTGCATGTGCAGCCAGGGGCTGAGTGGGTGGGTGTGGGCTTGCAGCCAGGGGCAAAGTGAGTGGGTGTGGGTGTGCAGCCAGGGGCAGGGTGGGTGGGTCAGAGTGGCTGGGTAGGTGAGTGTGCAGCCAAGAGCAGAGTGTGTGTGTGTGTGTGCGTGCGCGCGTGCATGTGCAGCCAGGGCAGAGTGTGTGGGGTTGTGTGTGTGCTCATAGGAGGAGGCCCACATGCACTCCCCACCATACGCATGTACCCACATTCCCCTCGTACTGCCATACATGCTAACCCTCACTTCCACAACCCGTCACACAGCCCAGGCACACTCCCCCCACACACATTCCCCCACAGACCGCATACCCACCCACACCCCACATATCCACACACACACATGCTCCCTCACCCCACATACCCACCCCCCCAATACAATATACAAGTATAAAACTGTATTTAAGCCAATGTGTAATCCCCTGTGTGTGCACTACACAAACACGTGTAAATTGGGACAACAACTGTTGGAAATCAAATTCATGAATGCTGTAGATGTTTCCTTTTTCAAACAGAATTTGGTATTGTGCTGGTTCCAAGACGGCACATCCCCTTGCCGGAAGGAGTACTTTGGGGGCAAGGGAACAGACTTCTGGTGTCAAAGGTCAGGGGGCGGGACTTCCGGTCACAAGATGTTGACCAGGGGGTGGGGCACCTGCCAAGGGGTGGAGCTACCCATGCGGCTTTTGACAGCTTTCCAAAACTCAGGACATCATCCTCCGCTCAAAATAATTACCCCTGGTTTACATGACCAGCCCCAAAGAGTGTGGGGTGGGGGCATGTCGGCTCTCCTGGACATGCTCCATCATTCACAACGGGAGATTGGCTAGTAAAGCACAAAACAGCTCTTACTGGAGAAACCCCTTTTGAAAGGAGCAGGGCTGGATACCCTGAACCCTGTGGTATTAGAGCTGACTACAAAGATTTGCATCCTATTGCTGCTGTTAATTGGTAATATTTTAAATGCTACTAAAATAAGATGGAAAGAAAGCTTGTATTAGTCCATTTTTTAAGAAGAGCAGTCAGAACAAGGAAGAAAATTATAGGTTTTTTAATATAAAAGCAATCTCAGACAAAATAATGGAAAAAAGGGGACTAAAGGATTTTTAGTTTTTGCTAAGTTTTTTGTTTATTTTTTAAATATAGGGGAGACAGGTAAAACAAGAATTAATATTTTGCAGGTTAAAACTAGGTTTTAAAACAACCCCAAAAACCAAGGTGGATTAACCAGTAAACCTACTTACAAACAGAAGTGGTAGGGTCTCGATCCCTTTCTCTTTTCATATCTAGACTGGACGCCCGTCTCAACGTTACCCTTCAGTCAATTATTCCCCAATAACTATGACTGGTCGTAGACCACATACCAGATTAGACAGACCACTGGATTAGCACAGAATGGCAACTCTTCTGGTGCTAATATTTGTCAAACTAGTAATTCAGTTGAAAAGAATAGTAGAACATTTTTCACTTACAGCATATATTTAGGAAATAACTTACAGTGTTCAGTATGCTGGTCAAAAGGAGCATTGAGTTTAGCACCTTGGTTTCGTTTTCCTCAAGCCTTTTATACTGCAAAAAGAAGAAAAAAACCCCACAAAACACCTCTGGGAACACAGTGCTGACCAAAGAACCAATTTTCTTCTTAGTACTACTTCTTGTAATAGTGTTATTATGCATCTATTCTGTATCTCTATTACGCAGGAAAAAACTCTTCAGAACCTGCCTCTGTGGTTTCCCACTCAAAATCCCGTGTTTCACATCACAAAACATGTGCAGAGCCCAGGCCCACGCTGGCCCTTATCTGGATACATGGGTCACAGCCACATAGGCTAGGAGGACTTGTGTCTATGTAGTGGGTCCTAGGGGACACCACGCCTGTCCAGGGAGAGAAAACACACACACTTGCAGAAATATTGAAAAAAAGATGTGCTTAAAAGGAGATGGCGATTACTTTTTTTCCAAAGATATCACCTATGTTCCCCCACTGATGCTCAAGAAGGCTAATGCCTGGCAACTCTCCCTGGTTGATCTGGGCATGCAGAGACTACGCTGACCGATTCAGTGCCCCTGCCTTCATGCTCTCATAGGCTGTCTGCATTTGGAGGTGACGTCTGCACAGTTATGCTGAGAAATGGCAGAAGGGGAAGCGTCATCTGCTACTTCGTCCTCTAACACACCTCTTTTCAGTGGCCATTAGTCAACCCTACGTGGGGCCCTATGTGGGGAAGAACTAGCTGAACGTGGCCCTTGAAGAAAGAAAGACTAAGCACTGGTGACGCCACACCGAAATGGCAGCTTCAGGCGAGAGAGGCAGTGGTCATGGGGGACCTAAATTACCCGGACATCTGCTGGGAGGAGCAGCCGGCCAAAACAAAGCACTCACGTAGGTTCTGAACCTGCATGCAGGACCTCCACCTAACCCGGAGGTGTCCAGTCCCACCAGGGATAACACCTTGCTAAGCTTGGTCTTTGCAACAGGGGATGAGCTTGTGGGTAACCTGAGAGTGCACAGTAGCCTGGGAGAAAGCGACCATCATTTGGTCGAATTTACAATCCAACGAAGGGTGGGAAAAATAAGCAGCAAGGCTGAAGTGTTAGACTTCAGAAGGGACAATTAGGGCCCAGGCTAGTTGGCGAGGTGGCTGAACTCAAGAGCATCGAGCATATGGGTCCAGGAGACTTGGCAGTTTCTCGAGGGAGTGATCCTTGGGGCACAAAAGGAGACTATTACATTATGCTGGAAAGGGGGAAGTGACTAAAAAAACCCCTTGGTTGAACAGGGAACCCCAGAAAAGACTCGGGGCAAAGAAAGAGATGTATAGGCAGTGGAAGCAGGGGGCAGCCACCAAGGAGGAATATACCCCTCTGGCGCACTATTGCAGGGAATCAGGCAGGCCAAGGCAGGACTGGGGCTTAGGAGGGCTACGACAATAAAGGACAATAAAAAGCCCTTCTACAGAGACCTAGCGAGCAAAAGGAAGGCGCAGAGTAACACAGGGTCCCCGCAGGACAAATCAGGACAGTTGGGGGCTGACACACGGAACAGGCGGAGCTCTTCAATGAGTTCTTCGCTTCAGTATTCCTCAGGACTGATGAAGACAATTTGCCCAACTTGAACACACATAGATGTCCGGAAGGCACTAGACCACCAATGGCTAGTGCTGACTTAGTTAAGGAGCACTTGGAGGGGCTGGGTGGGTACAAGTCAGCAGGCCTGGACGACCTCCATCCACGGGTGCTGACGGAATTGGCCAGTGTCATAGTTGAGGCGCTGGCACGGCTCTTTGAACACTCATGGTGTCTGGCCAGGTCCCTGAGGACTGGAAAAGGGCCAACGTGGTGCTCATTTTTAGGAAGGGGTCAAGGGATGAGCCGGGTAACATTAGGTCAGTCAGTCTTACCTCTATCCTTGGAAAAACACTGGAAAAAATCATTATAGAGTGCATTTGTGAAGGCCCAGCAGGGGAGATGATGCCGAAGGGAAACCAGCATGGGTTCATCACAGGTAGATCTTGCCTGACAAACCTTATAGCCTTTTACAACCAGGTAACACATTGCCTTGACACAGGAGCTGAGGCAGATGAGGCAGATGTCAGGTGAGCTCTTAGGAAAGGAAGGACACTAACTTCCCTAATTTCTCCAATGAATGACTAAGGGGGATAATTTCCATTTTAATCTATAACGGGTTTCAGTGTTTAGTCCATTTGTACAAGTGTTTTAAACAGAGCATCACTAACATATGTTCAATGCATCAGAATACAGTCAGAACAAAAAGTACTGTAAGTAAAATGTGCTGAGACTCACCACCAGTTTGTCTGAAGTAAGAAAGAACTCTAGGTATCTGGTGTGTCCATACAAGGTGTGGTAACGAGGATCATACTGGAAATTAAGGAGCATACTAGCTTTATGTACAGCAAACCCAGGAAATGACATGGCATGCAAAGACAACAGCATGATAGTACAGTCCTACGCTGCCATCCTGTGTGCTCCGGTGCAGCCAGTCCTATGTATGCCATGGTTACCAATCTGGAGAGTCATGCAACGTGAAAGGAGAGAATCAACTGTTAATTTTAACATAGACGATACCATGGGTTACTGAACGGGCAGTTTACACCCAGAGTTCTCCTTTACACGACTCTAGCGCGTTTCCCTGCAAATGACTTGGTTTAGTCCCTTTACAAGGAAGAGGGAAATTTTGACTGTAATTGCACAGAGCATGAATAGCAGAGAGTTGAAAAGGCATCGTATTCCCTTCAGGGAATGCATTCCTCCATTCCTCCTCAAGAGCTCCCTCGGCATCACACTCTCATCCCACATTACTTCAAGGCCCCCCGATTCCCCCCACTGTCACTGCTCTGTCAGGGCTCTGTGTGCTGCCTCTTCTCTTCCTCCCATTCAAGGCTCCCCACATCATCCATACCATGGCAGTGGCACAATGACTCCTCCACCCCTAACTGCTGCGCCAGCTCCCCTCCTTCTGTGTGCATCGACACCAGGGATTCACAACCCCCTGCTACCTGGCCCCATTTCGTGTGCTCCTCCCTTCCCTGCCTATGCTGAAACTGTGTGCATGCCCCCCTAGCTACCTTTCTTGGGCGGGGCAGAGAGAGGTGGGTCGAAGAGAGAGAGAAATACTGAGTAAGTCATTGAGGGGGCCTATATGTTAAACTCAGTTGGGAGGAGGAGACAGGGGTGCTGTTTTCCTGGAAAACATTACCACTGCAAGAATCCCACTGGAACAAATAAAGCAGTAGTATGCAGACTTGGGAAAAAGATTCAAGATGTAGACACTCCCTTCATTTGCCACCCACCGAAGACAAATGACAGAGACATCGTATTATAACAACGACCAGTATCTGCGTTGAGACTAACTGCCCCTGACGTCAGGCAGAAGGTAGGGCAGGATGGCACTTTGGAGTCTCACTGGCTCAGAGAAGCATGAGCTTTCATAAGCAGCAACCAACTTCCCCAGATGCTATGGATGAGACAGAAAGAACAGATTCCATGTAGAAGAGAAAGGGGCAGGGGGCAGGGATGCCACAAAGAAAGGGAATGTGAGAGCTGCTGACAGTAACAGGGGGACTGTTCTGCATCAGATCTCAGGACATGAGAACTCAGGGCACCCACTGACCTTGACAGGAGACAGGTTTAACACCGAGAGAAAATACTTTTTTATGCAGCGGGTAGTTAGTTAACCTGTGGAACTCATTGCCACAGGAGGCTGTAGAGGCAGCTAGCATAATGAGGTCAAAAAGGGACTAGACAAATTAATGGGTGATAGACTGATAAAGCAATAAGGCTACAGTGTTGTTGTAGTCATGATGGTCTAGGAAACGTCCAAGAAGTGATAATATTTTTGTGCTATCTTTAATTAGTAAATATTAAACAAAGCAGTCAGGGGTATATCATATCCTCTGGCATCTCTAAACCGATGATGGTAGATGTCAGGGATGGGATGACATCATCTGATACCTCAAAGAAAAAGCCCGGAGAAGAGAATCTGAGGTCCTGGTCTACAACTCTGTCATACTCTTCAGCTTTTCAAGGGTCTAGGCATCCCCATCTCCAGCAAAATTACATCACTTTCTGAGAGTGTCAAACTTCATCCTAGCTGCATGTGGATAGAAGGGGACAATCCAAGGTTCAACGCTGGTCTGCAGTAATTTGAAGTCAGACGAGCAAAGAAAAGGCCTACCTGAACCCGCCTGCTCCTAGCCCACTCACTTCTCCTCCAAAGAATACTGACCAGGACTTGTCAGGAAGAGAAGAGAGAAAGGTAGAAAAGACCACGTGAAGGATTATCAAGTCTTCTCCAGATGTAACAGTCAGAGAAAGAAGAGCTGCTTTTCGTAAGTGGAGGTACATTACTAGACCCCGGTTACAGGCTTTCTTTGCATAGGCAGCAACTGGGTGTCAAAGGTGCTCAGCAGTGAAGTATTTCTGAGTGTACTGGGCACACCTTACCTAACAGACTCTTCCAGAATGATAAATGTCCTATGAATGCGGGGGGAAGAGAGTGGGAAAGAAATCTGGGCATGATAATGAAAGTTGGTTCTTTATCTGACCCCAAATGAAGGGGAAGCAAGGGCTGGACATCCTCTAGAAACATATCAAGAAGAAGAACAACCACCCAAAACAGCGCCCAAAAGGAAAGTGGTGGTATTCTGTCTCCAGCAGAGGCAGACCAGAGAGAGTTGGGGCATGTGTAACAGGGCGCTGTCCTGAGGCCAGTCCAAGCGTTGGCTCACCCACCTGTCTAGGGAAGTCTGCCTACCTGACTCGTCTGCCATGCCTTTGTTGTAACTGAAGTTGTCCCGAGGCGGGAGGCTGTCCATTTAATTGCCCTGATGCTAAGGGTGGAGAACACAGCTTCAAACCTCCCCTTATGTCCCATGCCTCGCAGATGGCATCCAAAATTACTTCCAATTCTCCTGGCGCCATTATTGGCCCACACTCAACCTCTGGCCCAAATAAGGCCTAAGGTACCTAGGCCACATGGCCCCTTCACTGGGACCTCTACCCAGGCCCCTCGCTGGGGCTTCTGTCCTGCCCCTCCCTGGGCTGTTGGGCCTTATGCCCCTTGGGCCTCAGGCCTCGCTCAGCGAGTTTTGGCCCAGCCTCAGGCCCCCTTCTGTCAGCCTGGACCCTGGCTCAGCCCCACTCAGTGGGCCTGGGACCTGTGCTTTTCTGTCGGGGTGTGCTCCCCGAGCCTTTCCTCTCCACAGGGGCATCCACAAGGCAGTAGGGGCTGAGGCTTTCCAGTGCTCCATGCTCACCTTGCACTGGGGAGGTACTGGTGTGGCATGTCCTGGGGACTGTCCCGCCACAGGCAGCCTCACACCATCCTCCCCAGGTGGGAGTAGTTTCAGGTCATGCCCCAGGGACAGAACTCGTCTCCATCCCATAGCTCCTACCCTGGACCTCCCAGCTGCTCTGGGAGCAGCAGATCTCCTGCTGGGCAATGTAGCTTCTTCAGCTCCCTGCAGCAGCTGCCCGCTCTGCTCTCAGGGCCTATCCTTATCCCCAGGCTCCTCCTGATCACCCTATGACCGCCTGGTTGGGTCTGCAGACTGGCTGCAGCCTGCTCAAACCCTTACAGGGGACGTGCAGCCTGTGCTCTGCCACAGCGCGGACGTGGAGCAGAGAGTCCGTGGTACAGACAAAGGGTGTCTGAACAGAGAACAATGTCCTTAGCCTCCAGGCCGTGGAGGAACCACGGGGTGGCAGGGGAAACAACACCATCTCTGTACCCAGAATACAAAACAAACGCCCAGCACCAGCAAGGACACTCTCAGCCTAAACATGGCCTTTCCATACACAAGTTCCCTACTAAACACACGCATGAATTCAGGTAACTCTCATTGATATAGTATGTACTTTCCGGCTCTCGTTTGTAGGAAGTTCTCTCTTTTCAGCTGGTTGATTTTCCAGGAAATCACCAGTTACTCCACAGCGATCAGGTGAGTCCTCATCAGCTGCGACTTGAAAAATGAGGTGTTGAAAGGATGACGAGTCCTCAATAGGTTCAATATCATAGTTTCTATCTTCAACTTTCAGGAGTCCACTACAAAGGGTCAAATAGAAGTGAAAATGTAATGTTCACATCAATTAAACTGCAGTCTTTCTTTAAAGAGGAGAATAAGAGTGACTGAAAAAAAAAAGCAGTTAAAGTTCCTACAATTTACCAATCTTTTCATTCACTAGCACAGTAAAATTGTGCGTATCCACAAGCCCATTAGGACAAGTCTATGGCCTCTCTCAACCTTTCAAAGACTATAGACAGAAGGTAGAAGGAGGAAGAGACAAAATAAAGACAGAAGTGTGGTCAATGACCATTTTTAAGCAGCGTTATGAACTTTGGTGTTCTGAAGAAATCTGACATCAGGAAAACTCTGCAGTCACAACGGTACTTCTTGTTGCCTATGTGGACACCAAGAAAACCAGTCATTTGTACTTATGCAGTAGTTAAAATCAATGTGGTTTTGGGCACAGGATCTTAACTCAGGACAGCGTGATTTCTGCTAAACCGCTGTGACACTGTTCTTGCTCCAGCCCTTATGAGCCTCTGCCATTGCTCCAAGGAACTGCAGTTATATTCTTTCCTGTTGTCCAGCAAGATTTGCCTTTCCCCTAGCACAATACGAAAAGTAACAGAAATAGCATTTGACCGTATAAATGCTTAATGTTGACCAAGGCTGTAATCTAATCTACTGGGAGTTATGTCCCTCACATGAATCACAGCCCTAGATAACAGCTATAGAATTATAATATCATGGCTTATTCTGTGCATTGGATTACATTCATACATTTGTGACATGTCACTGAGCTACAGCACAGAAGGACACCTAATAAAATAACTGGCATAAAATCTCCGTGAAGAAAGAAAAAAGAGCCACTCACCATTTATTCTATCATGTCAGAGCTAAGTGGTTCAAACTGCGCACTACCCACTGCACAGAGCAGTCTGCTTTACCTGAGTCCAGAGCAGGTGCTGAGAGAAACAACAGATCCTGGGACGTCTTCCACAAACCCTTCATAGTAACAATCCGTCTGCAAGAGCCAGAAATGATTTTCTTTTCTGTTATTACGTCTCATACAGTGGACTCTCACATAACATGTGGAGAAAAAGCTCCACCACACGAGCCTTCACCCCAACACAACGCCAAAAATTGCCTGGAATAGGAAGACAGTGACTCACAACTTTCAGACCTTCCTTGTACTCATTTGATAGCATGAGGGACTCTTATGAACTACACTCTTGTTTGACGATAAAAGGAAAAAACAATAATACGGGAAGAGACTAGGGGTGATTTTCTGTATGGAAGGATGATGGCAAAGAGGAGAGAATTGGCAGTTTTATACAAGTTTAGAAAAGCATGAAAGCAAAACTGATGCAAAGGGAAAAGAGGATAGGCAAGAACTACAGGAAGAGAGAAGTGGGTCCAATATCAATAGCCTTAGTTGGGGAACTAATCAGGTTAGATTGCCTATGCATTTTTCTTTCTTTTTTTTTTGGATCACTTACTGAAATCTAAGTCTTCTGGGTTGAAATTACCCAGGCTTCATTTGTACCTAAGCATGTATATTATACGCATGCACGCTATAATTTAATTCTGCACTGACTCGGGGAGGGAATTCCATGCACAGCTGCACCAATTGTATAGGGTCCCAGTATAAACTTTTGCAATGCAACTTTATGTATTAAAAACTAAACTGTTACATCTGCCTGATCCTCTGCACAAATACACCAGAACCACTACAGCCCTAACCCGGCATTATTCAGTGCGAGTCAGGGCAGTTCAGCCGGTGCGCACCACTGCAGGCTGTGCCCACTCCTCAGCAGCTGCTGCCTTTATCCTTTTCAAAACAGCTAAAAAGTACCTTTGTGCCTACCCATCATCTCAGCCTTTTTTTGTAACCCCCCCACCCCCGCCCCCAATGAAAACAAACAGCTGCAATGGCTGGCTCGGACATGGGGGTGGGGGTTTGGAGCGGGGGCAGGAGGGGAAGGTGGTTTGTCCTACACCCTATACCACTTGTCGCTGAGCATTTCCCCCTGGGATCGAGGCAGCTCCGTTCTGAGACATCCAGCTCTCCCCACGTACTGCTCACGGAGCCTGGGGACCAGGTCTCCTTCCACCCGCCAGGCACTGGCATGGATTAGGCACCCAGCACCAATCTACTCCATGGGGCAGAAGTCCCAGGAAAACCCCCTAAAGTAAGAGGTAAGTGAACACTGTTTCTGTATTTCCTGACTAGCCCTAAGGCAAAGACAACCGTGTGTTACGGACGTAGATACCTAGCAGGGGAAGAAAACTCTGGCCCTAGGTGCCTAGATGGATCGCTGTTCTGGTTTCCCCTCCGTGGGCTGGGCGCCCGCAGGGAGGCACTCTGCAGCTCAGCAGAGCAGCATCTCCGGTCCAGGTCTGAAAAAGGAGTGCATGCTTTTGCCAAGATAATGGGGGAAACCTGTGGTGGAAATGAAACACGACCCACAGGCTCTCAACCCCTGGTTAGCACCCTTAACACTGGGCCACCTTTGTTCTTCCTCCATTCATAATCTGACTATTCCTATAATTATGATTCAGTATTTTACACCTCAGGGTTGCTCTCCCGGGATTACTTACCATACCTAGGGCTAGACTGTGCAGCCCTCAGCCCAGGACTTGGTTTGCTCAAAACTGTACCACAAAACATGCAAAAATTTGCAACAGATATCCAACGTTTTGACATTGCCTTTTTGAAAAGCGATGGCTTAATTCTATTCAGTGTCATGCCCTACAAGGTACGCAGCCCAAAACTTACTTGAATATATGGATAATCAGTTATCAGGTCTCCCTTCTCGTTGTAAGTAAACACTGGTAAATCCTTGGCTATGAACTCTCTAAAACAAAGATAGCATTTGACGGATTAGAAATGCAAATGCACACTATTAAAGACAGGACGCTTACTTGAATTCTCCATACATGCACAGGAGGGAAAACGGAAAGGAAAAGGAAGCAAACTGGCAGCATCCAGGATGAAACAGTGGCATTTCCTGAACAAGTCTGGAGACCCCGCTGCACGCTGAAAACCAGGCGCAGCTCACCGGGATCGCCCTGGGAATCGCCGCTGCACGCTGAAAACCAGGCGCAGCTCACTGGGATCGCCCTGGGGATCAGCACCAGATCCCTGTGCCGGGAAGGCTGTGGTGAGGGAGGGCAAGGGGCCCAGGAGGCAGATGGCCAGGGATTTCCAGCAGGCCCACCGCTTTCACAACACCGTCTCATCTGCAGAAGAAGAGTGCCGTTGCTGCAGGCCCTGAGCTGGGCACTGCCCCTCCCGAGCCCCACACTGAGTCTCGCAGCAACCCTCAGCCCTGAGCACCCTCACCACCACCGCTCAGCACCCACGGCTGCAGGACAGGCCTCCTCAGGTCCATTTGGACAGGGGTGCACTCTGTACTATTCCTGCAGAAAATGGACACGACCCCACAACCGAAGCCGGGGCAGCTGGAGTCGGGGGACAGGGTCTACTTCAGCCACCTCCCAGTGCCGGGATGGGGCAGCCCTGTTCTCCCCAGGGCTGCAGATGGAAATCCTGCAAACAGCTGAGGCGGTGCTGGCTGCCTGCTCCATCTCTGGGGCCAAACGCAGGGGCTATCCTGAACCTGGTTACACTTGGCACCCCCACTCAGCACTGACATGATATGAGTCGATCAGCAAGAACCCGACTACCTCAGCACCCCGAGTCCTCACAAGCGCCTGGTCCTCAGCGGGCGTATCTATATGGTCATGCACACGTCTTAGATCCCGTGCGTTTCTTGTAGTACTAACTTAATAAAGTACTGACTGAATGCGCGGTACCTAGTGTTACTGCGCATCAGTGCCAGCGCACGGTTATTTAGTGACGCTTACTGCGCATTAGCCTAACAACGCAGCAGCAGGTGCAGTAGGTGATTAGCACGGCTTGTGCTGTGATGCGCTACTGCACAGTGTCATTAGGCTAATGTGCAGTAAGTGTCGTGGGTAGATGCGCCCCATGGGGACTTCAGCGTGAGCCCTGGGGCACGGGACCGGACCAGCGAGAGCTGGAGCCGAGACACCACAGACATCAGCTCGCCGTCCGCTTGGGAACCGACCACCTGGAATAATTTCGTACCATATGCAAACTCTCATATTTCACTGCATGCGCCAGTCTCACATTTTTTGTTTCACTGAGATTCAAAAACTAG